ATAAATAAACGTTGAAAAAAAAAATTTAAAAATTAAAAAAAAAATTAATAAATAAAAAAATAAAAATAGGGAGCCTAGTGCCTATTTTATCAGTAATGAATATTATCAATTTTTTTAAGGATTTTATTTTTTTAAGTAATCTCTACACCCAATCTGGGTGGGCTCGAACTCACAACCCTGAGATCAAGAGTCACATGCTCCACCAACTGAGCCAGCCATGGACTCCTATCAATATTTTTAATATTTTCCGGGCGCCTGGGTGGCTCAGTCGGTTGGATGTCCGACTTCGGCTCAGGTCATGATCTCGTGGTTTGTGAGTTTGAGCCCCACATCGGGCTCTATGCTGACAGCTTCGAGCCTAGGGCCTGCTTCAGATTCTGTGTCTCCGTCTCTCTCTGCCCCCCCCCCCCACTTGTGCTGTCTCTCTATCAAAAATAAATAAAATGTAATAAAAAATATTTTTAATGTTTTCTTCTATATTGCCACTTTTTAACTTTATTTATGACATCCTCTTTATTACTGTTAAGTATTTATAAAGTATATTTAGCAAGTAAACTATTGCTCAACTATTAAAAGATTAAACTTTTCCCCTTTCGTTCTACATATGGATGCCTCATGGAAGGCAGATGACATCTTAAAATGGCCCTCACCAGATATCTAGAATACATGTATAGAAAATAGGCTTTTTTGCTATTGCAGCCATGCAGGAAATGTGCTGCCCGATCATACTCTTTAACATCAAAGTAGGCTTTGGCCAGGGTATAAGCGTCCATATCCTGGGCATCCTCCTAGAAGAGAGACAAGTTTTTATAAGTGGTTGGGAACAAGACAACAAAAATTCAAATTCAAGAAGCATATTCATTAATTTCAAGATGTAAGAAAAAGTATTTTCTTCCTCCCCAAAACCTAGCATATACGTGTGTGTAGATATGTATACATATTTACATATACATAGAAATGTAAATTACTTTTGTATATTTGTCTTATTACACACTAAGGTCATTGAACTTTTTTCAAAATAAAAAGTTGGGAAAAACTAAAAATTTTAAAAACTGAACCAAGACACTCAGAAAGTTGTACTAGTTCTTTAAATGAGGTGCGAAGGTGCACAGGCTTTAGTGTTAGGGAACTGGATTCAAATTCTGATTCCTTGATTTCCTGGTTTCATGACATTAGTAGGGAAGTTACTTAGTTTCTCTGAGAACTCATTTTTTCATGGGTAAAATGGAGCAAATAATACACATTTGATGAGGAAAAAGTGGAAAAGTCATGGAAAATGACTAGCATTAATATCTGACATTTGCTTCCTTTTCCACGCTTTCAAAAATGTACAGAAATGCAACATACTGTGCAATTACTTTTATTTATACTTCAAAAAAGTTTTGGCATGTTAGTATTGCAAAAAGTATAGAACACAGTCATAATTCTGTATATAAATGAAATGATGCACATTTAAGTTAATAAAGCATACAATCTCCCAAATTCTAGGGGTAAGTCGATTAAATCTTCATTTGCTACATTTTCCTCATCCTTCTTGGCCCAAATATTACTTGAACAAAACTGGAACCAAAACATGTTCAGTGTTTTCTTCATTGAATTAATAAATCCTAAATGTATCCATTCAACTTAGGAGTCTAGTGGCCTTTTTCACATGTCTTCATCAATTCCTTATTTCTTCACCCACCTCCTCTCACATGCATTATACCTTCTGACGTCAGAAACCTTCACTATTTTTAAGAGTGTGTGTGGGGGAATGCAAGCTGGTGCAGCCACTCTGGAAAACAATATGGAGGTTCCTCAAAAAACTAAAATAGAACTACCCTAGGACTCAGCAATTGCACTACTAGGCATTTATCCACGGGATACAGGTGTGCTGTTTCAAATGGACACGTGCACCCCCTGTGTTTATAGCAGCACTATCAACAATAGCCAAAGTATGGAAAGAGACCAAATGTCTATCGATGGATGAATGGATAAAGAAGATGTGGTATATATGTACAGTGGAGTATTACTCGGCAATCAAAAAGAATGAAATCTTGCCATTTGCCACTAGGTGGATGGAATTGGAGGGCATTATGCTAAGTGAAATTAGAGAAAGACAAAAATCATATGACTTCACTCATATGAGGACTTTAAGAGATAAAACAGATGAACATAAGGGAAGGGAAACAAAAATAATATAAAAACAGGGAGGGGGACAAAACAGAAGAGACTCATAAATATGGAGAACAAACTGTGGGTTACTGGAGGGGTTGTGGGAGGGGGGATGGGCTAAATGGGTAAAGGGCACTAAGGAATCTACTCTTGAAATCATTGTTGCACTATATGCTAACTAATTTGGATGTAAATTTTAAAAAATAAAAAATTAAATAAAAAAAAGTGTGTGGAGGGGAGGGGAATCAAGAAATGGCATCTTCAGGAGAAACAAAATGGATTGTGACAATTATTCAAACCACACAGACTATGTAAAAATATCTTCTGTAGATCAAACATAAAATATATTCCTACCTTATATAATTCTAGCAATATCCACTTAAGGTAGATACTATTATTATCCGCATTTCACAGATGAAAGTTGCCAAAAGTCCCTAGTGTAGCTGAGATTTGAACCCAGAGCTATCTGAATCCAAAACCAGTTTTACATTGTTGTTAAAACCTTTGATTCTTCTCATCGTTAAGAACATTGTCTAGGCTAGGCTATCAAACTTAAAAGGCTGAAATCTTACGCAAGGATTGTTTACTAATTCTCTCCAGCTTAAGTAAAGCACCACCAAATCTTTACAAAGATCAACAAAACCACACAGATAAAAATCGCTGAAAACATCCAGCTCTTTAAAAGCTTTAATTCTCTCTACAAACATTCCTGCTAAGTAGGACGGGATACACCATAACCCTTCGGGTTGGTGGGGAGCGCTCACAGTGATGGAAGTGCTTACCTCTGTAATAGGCGGCGGCGGCTGCAGCTCCGCCAGAGGCAAGGCAGGGAGCGAGAAGGCCAACTCCGCGGACCTGGAACACCCAAACTGAATTAATTCCAACAAGCCCCATAAGGCCAAGGATCCAAACCCAGTCTCTTCCGACCCTGACGTCTCACCATTTACTACTGTGCAGTAGACCCCGCTCCCGGGTAAGGCCCGCGATGAGTAGTAGCTGCTTCTTTATTTCTCGCAAATTTGAGAAATCGCTGCTCGATGACAGCACCGGCATCACCGGAGCAGCCATAGGGACTACAGAGGGACTCGCAGCCATTTTACTGACTCGCCACTCCAACCAATCACCAGCGATAATACTAGTGGTCCGTCTGCGCCAAAAAAGTCTGCCAGTTATTGGTGGACTTCTGCTCCAGAAAATCCAATCAGAAATGTTACTTCTCTCAACGTCACCAAAAGGCCGGGAAAGAAGACACAATCCCATCTCCGATTGGCCAAGAGCTACTAGGGCGGGAAATTTAGCACTAGAAGGGATAGAGGGAGGAAAAAAAAAAAGAAGCGGGGCAAAGAGCTAGTGACTGGAATAGGTGGATTGGGAAGCTGGGGCTGGGAGTACGAGCAAGAAAGGGCGCAGAAGGGAAAGTGCCCTGAATCTTAGGGGTAATGTGGTTGGAAGGGAGAGCGTAGTTTGTCAGCAGATTCTGTGCCGCTGGACAACGAAATGGTGTATGTGTCTAGCAAGGATGCCTGCTATCCTCTGGATTTTTGTTCTTACTTAGGAAGATGTATGGCCACAGGTGGAGATTCCTTCCTTCCTCATTTTCCACCCCATGGCGGGGGGCGGGGGGAGGATAGTTAACATTTATTGGGGATTTATCCTGTAACAGGTTATGTACTTTTACAGATATAATCTGGTTTGACCTTTAAAACAGCTCTGTGATATTCGTATCATCCCAATTTTACAGGTAAAATGAAACCTCAGGGAGTTTCTATCACTCTTCCAAGGAAGGAGTCTAGATTATGAGCCAGATCTAACCCTAACGTTCTTAAACATTACATGAACATTTTCAACGTTTTTTGTTTTTAACCCTTTCATATTAATAAATACTTTTACCAGCTTGAGAATTTTTCGAATTGTTTGTCATTCCTTGGCTGTTATATAGAACTACTTTTAAGTAAAGCATGTTGTTTTAGATTAATACATATTTTTAAAATTGTATTATAGAGGCGCCTCGATGGCTCAGTTGGTTAAGCGCCAGAGTTGGGCTTGGGGTGGTGATCTCCCTGCTCCTGGGTTAGAGCCCCATGTTTGGCTCTCTGTTGTTAGTGCGGAGCCTGCTTGGGATCCTCTGTTCCTCTCCTTCTGCCCTTCCCTGCTCATGTTTTCTATCTCTTTCTCTCTCTCTCAAAAATAAAAACATTAAAAAAAAATTTAAATTGTATTAGAGTCAACTTTATTGCACCATGATATACAATATATTGGCAGAATTCTACTTTTTTCTTGTTACACAAATGATGCACACTTTATACTTGTTTTAAATTTATAATAAGAAAAAGAATTTAATATAAATTCTTTTATATAAATATAGAATATAAATAAAATAAATATAAATATATAAATTATATAAATAATAAATAAATATAAATAAGAATATAAAAAGAATTTATAATAAGAAAAAAAGCATGATTTGTTGAAGAAAATTACATTATATCACACCCGTTATATATATTGAATATAAATTGAATATATACTGACTTATAGGATGAAATGTAATTGTTTATGGATTTATAGGTAGTCAATACTTTTATGACTTGTTTAGAATTTTAACTTTTCCCCTTAAAATACACATTTTTTACAATTGTATTTGATTTTATAATTTTTATGTCTTGTTTTTAATTTTTTTTAATCTTAAATATTATTTTAAATTTTTCTTAATGTTTATTCATTTTTTGAGAGAGACACACATATATGAGTGGGGAGGGAGAGAAGGAGGGAGACACAGAATCAAGCAGGCTCCAGGCTCTGAGTTGTCAGCACATGAGATCATGACTCGGGGACACTTAACCGACTGAGCCACCCAAGTGCCCCCATTTTTTGTTTTCATTTGAGAGAGAGAGAGAGAGAGAGAGAGAGAGAGAGAGAGAATCCCAAGCAAGTTCCACACTCAGCACAGATTCTGATGCGGGGCTCAATCCCAAGACCCTGGAATAATGACCTGAGCTGAAAACAAGAGTCAGACGCAGAACCAAGTGAGCCACCCAGATTTCCATGTCTTCTGTTTTCTTTTTAAATAATAAGAAACAGAGAAGTTGGGGGGGGGGGGCACCTGAGTGGTTCAGTTGGTTGAGTGTCAGCCTTCTTGATTGTGCCTCGATGATGATCTTTTAGACACAGGATGGAGCCCTGCATCAGGTTTCATCAGGTTTCTCGCTGGGTTTCTCCCTGCCCCCTGCCTCAAAAATGAATAAACATTAAAAAAAAAAGAAAAGAAAAAAGATTTCAAGATGCCTTTGGCAAGCACTTCTCCACAAACAACACATTTTGGGTGTAACCAGTCTCTTGTCCCAATGAAAAGCTAAATTGGATAGAATTGTCATGCATTTTTTTCAATTTGAGAGAGAGAGAGAGAGAGAGCATGAAGGAGAGGAGGGACAGAGGGAGGGAGAAGGAGGGAAAGGGAGAAGGAAAGAGAGAGAAAGAGAGAGAATCCCAAGTAGGCTCCATGCTCAGCATGGAGCCCAACTCGGAGCACCATCCCAAAACTCTGGGATCATGACTCATGACCTGGCCAAAATCAAGAGTCAGACGCTCAACGAACTGAGCCACCCAGTCACCCCAATTTTTTTTTAAATATTTAAAACCAGAGTCATTCTAGTTGTATCATTACTTTGTATTGTTTTTTAATGTAATATTATATAATATTTATTCCTCTACCATCCCTCCTCCCCAATCCTTCCTATGACATAGACTTTGTAGCTTTCTATTTTATAATGCATTTTTTCTATTACAAAAATAATGTATGGTTGGTGCGCCTGGGTGGCTCAGTCAGTTAAGCATCTGACTTTGGCTCAGATCATGATCTCACGATTTGTGGGTTAGAGCCCCATGTTGGGCTCTGTGCTGACAGCTCAGAGCCTGGAGCCTGCTTCAGATTCTGTGTCTCCCTCACTCTCTGCCTCTCCCCTGCTTACACTCTTTCTCTCTCTCAAAAATAAATAAACATTAAAAAAATAATAACATATCTTCAATGTATAAAACTTGAAGAATACAATAATCATGAAGAATAATAAATATACTACTACATACCTATATTAGAATGACCAAAATCCAGAACACTGACAACACCAAATGCTGGCAAGGATGTGGAACAATAAGAATTCTCATTCATTGCTGCTAGGCATGTGAAATGTAAAAATACTGTGGAAGACAGTATGGCAGTTTCTTACAAAACTTTACATTTAATATACAATCCAGAGCAATCATGCAACCAAGGGAGTGGAAAACTTATATTACACAAAAACTTGTTTATAGCAGTTTTATTCAAAATTTCCACAACTTGACAACAATCAAGATGTCCTTTGGTAGGTGAATGGATGAATAAAGTGGTACATCCAAACAATGGAATGCTATTCAGCACTAAAAAGAAATGAGGTATCTGGGGAGCCTGGTGGCTCAGTTGATGAAGTGTCCCACTCTTGATTTTGGCTCAGATAATGATCTCACAGTTGGTGACTTCAAACCCCACATCAACTTCCCTTCCGTGCTGACAGCTCAGAGCCTGGCGCCTGCTTCGAATTCTGTGTGTGTGTCTCTCTCTGCCCCTACCCCACTTGTGTTCTCTCTCTCTCTCTCCCAAAAATATATAAACATTAAAAAATTCTCTTAAATAAATAAAAATAAACTTAAAAAAAAAGAAATGAGCTATTAAGCCATGAAAAGACACAGAGAAAATTTCAATGTATTTTACTAAGTGAAAGAAGCCAATCTGAAAAGACTAGACATTGCATAATTCCAACTATATGACATTCTGGAAATGACAAAACTATAACCACAGTAAAAATCAGTGGCTTCTACCGGTTGGGTGAGAGTAGAATGAATAGGCATAACACAGAGGATTTTTAGGACAGTGAAACAACTCTGTATGATACCGTAAAGCTGAATACTTGTCATTATACACTTGTCTAAACCCATGTACAACACCCAGAGTGAATCCTAATGTAAGCCCTAGACTTTGGGTGGTAAGGATGTGTCATGGTAGGTTCACCAACTGTATACCACTCTGGTGGGGAATATCGATAAGAGAGAAGCTCTGCACATATGAGGCAAGGAGCATACAGGAAATCTCTGTAACTTCTGCTCAACTTTGTTATAAACCTAAAAACTGTACTAAAAACATGAAGTCTGTTAAATGAATGAATAAATAGAACATTACCATATAAGTCCCATACAAAAGAAATAACTGGTTTCTGAATATTTTAATCCACCTGTGTACATAGCTTCATACTATCTTATTGTCCACATTTGTTACATAATTCACTATGAGCATTACCCCATCGTTAATAAATATTTTTCCCCATCATGCTCTTCAAAGTTGAATGGTAATCCATTATATGTATGTATCATAAACATATATAACCAGTCTCTGTGTTGGACCTGTATCTTATAATCATAATTTTTATAACCATAATTTTTAAATTTTTTAAAATTTTTACTTTTTATTTTATTTTAGAGAGAGAGCATGAACAGAAGAGAGGGGCAGAGGGAGAGAGAGAGAGAGAGAGCATCTTAATCGGGCTCCCTGCTGAGTGTGGAGCTTGACATGGGGCTCAATCCCACAACCCAGGGATCATGATATGAGCTGAAATCAAGAGTTACATGCTCAACCAACTGAGCCACCTATGTGCCCTTATAACCATTAACTAGTATTTCAGCATCAAGGTGGCTTATGCTTCAAAGTCCTTTTTTAAAAATATTTTTAGAGGCACCTGGGTGGCTCAGTCAGTGAAGTGTCTGACTTCAGCTCAGGTCGTGATCTCATGGCTCATGAGTTTGAGCCCCAGGTCGGGCTTTGTGCTGGCAGCACAGAGCCTGATTGAGATTCTTTCTCTCACTCCCTCTCTCTCTCTGCACCTCCCCTGCTCGTTCTCTCTCTCTCTCACTCTCTCTCTCTCTCTCAAAAATAAATAAATAAAACATTTAAAAATTTTAAATATTTTTACATTTTATTTTATAGAGAGAGAGTTCAAGCAGGGGAAAGGGGCAGAGAGAGAGAATCTCAAGCAAGCTCCATACTCAGTGTGGAGGCTGACAACGGGCTC